GTGTGGGGATTAAACCCAGGTCATCCATGTGCAAAGAAAGCATCCTATCCACTGTACTATTATCCTGGACCCAAAGAACCAATATCTCAATTTAAGTGTATTAAAATAAGATTTTTGCTCGAGCGGGCCCAGTAACGTCTCCATTGGAGACTTTGTTGTTACTGTGTCTGGCATATCGAATACTCTCGGTAGCTTGCCGGGCTCTCCGAGAGGGGCGGAGGAATCGAACTCGGGTTGGCCATGTTGGCCGCTTGTAAGGCGAACGCCCTACCCGCTGGACTATCCAACTGAATAATGTGAAGTAGAACATGATTTAGGACTTTTTTTTAACTGATACTTTATCAGATTATATTGTGAAGTGGATTAGATTTGGCAGCTAAAAAGCCTATTGTCAATGCTTTGTCTCCCTCCCTACTCTTATTTCTTCTTTTTTTTTTTTTCCTCATCTAGCTGTAGGCTTAACTACAAATCCTTTGACTCTGACCCAGGATTTATTCTTTCTCAGAACATCTGAGATATTTTCAATTTTCAAATTCTTCAATTTTGTCGAATATTGAGCATCTTACTCCTTTTCCTCTTTGGTATTCGTGGAGTTTCAAAGATAGCATTTTGGCAGTACTGATTCTATGGACACTTGTCATTTCCTCCTCTAAACCTAGCTGAGTTAACATATCTAGTTTTCCCTAATTGGAAGAACAAAGCTTGGGGAGTGTGCTAACATATCAACTACATATAAGATTGATACATGTCAGCATGTTTCTCTAATCAAACATGAAACATATGTATGCCTGACAACACTGTTCACATTGGCTACAAGTAAATATAGTCTGTGATTGTTCCATTCTGAAGAGGTTCAGTATTCTTTAGAAACTTTCCTTGCAGTTTACTAAGTAATCATTTTTTACGTGCTGCATTCTTCTCATATGACCTGCAAGTGTGTCTTCTTTTTTTTTTATAGATTATGCCAATACATTTATTTTTTAATTTGATTTTTTTATTGAATCCCCATGACTTGCAAAATTGCAGAGTTATTCATGATTGATTTTCAATATTTTTGCACCTTGCCCTTCATTGTGCTGTTCCCTCCACCAATGTCCCCAATTTCTCTCCCATCCTCCACTTGCCTCTACGACAGGTACTTATTTCTTTTTCTTTTTAGGAGCTTTGACTTACAGTACTGTTACTAATAAGACACATTTCATTTTTTTAAAGTCTTAAAAAACTTTTAATGATAACTCAGGCTGTGCCACTAGCTTCTGCCTGATGTCAGAGACATGCCTACTTGTAAACATCTTTACCTCCATACACCTGGAAATTATAAGTAGTTGAACCCCAAATGATAATAAGTGTGCATATTAAACTTTTTCATTTATTTTAGCTGTGAAGATGATAGTGCTCAGAAATGTAAGTAGTTCTAGTCATGATACTAATTTGTTAAGCCATGGATATGGAAAGAGCCTCCTTCAGTTATCAGTCATTTTTTTCTAGGGGCCAGGGACATGGTTCAGTGGACTGGCTCACACACTTGACAAGTGCCAGAATCTGAGTTTAACTGTAGCTCCCCTTATCCATTCTCCCAGCATCACTGGGTGTAGCCCTGAGGCTTCCAGCCACTGCCTGCGTGCTCTGGTCGTCCCTGGCACTGCAGGGCTGATGTTGATGTTGTTGATGATGATGTTCGTGAATTCTCTACAGAGAAAGAGAATTTAGATTATGCTTATATAGATATTTTTTCAATTGTGCTCTTTGTATTGGAAGCAGACGTTTGCAAACTGCAGAAGTACTTTCAGATATTTGTCATAGTGAGCAGTCAGATATATGGTCATACAGGTATAAAAAGAGAAAGTAAAAGGTCGGAGACTCACAAATAAATCTTGGAAGAGAGCAACACACTGCAGAGACGCCTCTGGATCCCCAAGTCACCGTCCAATTAAAATATAACTCCGGGTCTAGCACCCTATTTAAAATTTTAGATTCCTAGAGCTCACAACTGCTTTCACAGCCGCATGACATCTCGTACTTTATGCCACTGATATACCAAGAGTAACACATATATGTATATAACACACACACACACACACACACGTGTATGTGTGTGTGTGTGTGTGTGTGTGTATTTAGCACTGTACTGCACTGTAGCACTGTCCTCCACTGTTCATTGATTTGCTGGAACGGACACTAGTAATGTCTCTATTATGAGACTTGTTGTTACTGTTTTTGGCGTATCGAATACGCCACAGGGAGCTTTCCAGGCTCTGCTGTGTGGGTGGGATACTCTCGGTAGCTTGCTGGGCTCTCCAAGAGGGACGGAGGAATCAAACCTGGGTCAGCCGCGTGCAAGGCAAACGTCCTACCTGCTGTACTATCGCTCCAGCCCGAAATGATAGTAAGTGTAGAAAACCCTAAAGAAAACTGCAATAAAATTTCTATACATATAAATATATGTATATGTATATTTTATATATAGAACTTTTATATTTAGAATATACATATTTATATTTATAGAACTTATATATACATATATATATATATATATATATATAAAAGCCCACAAGGTTCAACCTCTAACAACATGTTAGTGATCTCTTGCTCCAAGGTGAGATACAATAATTTTCACACACTTCCCTCTAAGGACATTTTAGTCAATTATTCATAACAAGCAATAAAAAATAGAGTATTTAGCATCTGCCTTTGGGGCAGGCTTGGGTGGTGGTGGAAAATTCAAAATAATGATGGTGGGAAGGTGTAATGGTAGTGGTATTGGTGTTGAAATATTGAATATAATCAATTATTGTGAACAAGTTTATGAAAATAAAATTTAAAATATCTTTAAAAAGAGAAAGTAAAAAGGCAAGGATTTGGTACTAGGAGAATATAGTTCTTAACACTTTCTGAGTTGGCATACACTCTACATATTTTTCATTAAAAATCACTCTTTTGACTCGAAGAGATATAGTACAGGGATTACTATCCCAGCCTGCATTCAGTCAGTCCTGCAAGTTTGCTCCCTTGCACTGTATTTGATCCCTTGAGCACCAGCAGAAGTGATCCCTGAACACAGAGCCAGGATTAAGCCCTGAACTCCACTGAGAGTGGCCCTAAATCTCTCCTGTCCATCCCCCACACTCTAGAAAATTTTTTTTAAAAAACAGTATTTAAATTACACACTTCAATGTAGGAGGAAACTATCTTTTTTGGAAAAAAATACACATTTTTCAAAAAAATTGAAGACCTCTCCTCTGTGATAACCTCACATTTATAGCATATGTCAGATCACAGTAGAAAAAATTATTTTCCGAGTCAAATCACCAAACAAAAACCAGCAACAAAATTTGTTTTCCCAAACATGCTAACCATCACATCAGTCCCAGCCATGCAAGAAATCACAGTAATCCCCCAAACGCTGATTGCAGTTCCTTGGAATGCTTGTGGACTTTTAATACTCTGCAGTCATGTGAGTCCTGGTTAAGATGTTCATGAGTAATTCTGTTGGGACATTTTGAGCAAACTGGTTGAAAGGGGGAAAGAATAAATAGCAAAGGCCAAGAAGCAAAAGTCTTTCAGACCATGTCTTGATATGCCTGGACTTAAGGTTAACACTCTAGTGCCTGATAAGTACAAAGGAATCAAGACATGTAGGAACAGAGCTATCATAGTGACCCACACAATGAGGAAGGTATTGAACATTAGAACAAGAAGAGACAAAACTAAATAAAGGCAAAGTTGGTCTGACTTGGTATAATTTACAAATCTTGCTGAAATTAAGAGACTGGGATCAGGGAGAAAGCTCATCCAGGTGGAATATGTGATTTGAAATAGCCTTGAGGCACAGAATAAGGACTTTCCCCTGAGCACCATCCAGTATGGTCCTCCCCCTTCAAAAAAACACACACCAAAAACCAAAATAGCCATAAAATGAAATTAAGAAATTGAACCTGAAGCCTGTCTATCAGGAAAAAAAAATAGTATCGAGGCATGTAAGACAGTATTGAAAATATTCTCCCTGAAGTTCCACTCGCATTATTTTCATGTGCATGTAAAAATTTATGAGATCTTTTCTGTGCAAGTTTAGTCACTACCTCAATTCTAATTTTTCTCGTACTTGTAAATCACCCAATAAGGTATTTCCTATTGGAAGATTTTTACAAACATACTCTGTATAGGAGGAAATTACTATCTTCCTAAAAACTCCCTCTACCACATAAAGTCCGTATACTTCTCCACAAGTATAGACATAGTGGGGATGTGTCAGCAATGTGCATTAGCAAACAACAACAGCTGCATTTGTTCACAGAGCACATGGATGTGCCTCTAGCGTGCCAAATGCTTTGTCTGCATTATCTTACTTAATCCTCAAAACAACTCTCAAATAGTTCTCCATATTTTTCTGATGGAAACACTTAAGCTTATTTTAGAAAGTTTATTTTCCTTTCTTCGGTTGTGTTTTAGACAGACCAGATCTCTTACATCTATCCCTCATTTCCATTTTATACACAGTAATGCTAATACGAGGCAAAGGCAAATAAATCACTCACCTGGTATTTAAAATTTAAAGTGCTATTCCCTCCAAAAAGGGAAGATTTGTAAACTAGATAAATATTTTAGTGCATTGTTTTCATGAGAACAGCATTAGAGGACGGAGTGATTTTAAAAAGGGTTAAGGGACATATTTTGTATGCAATTAGCCCTAGGTGTGTCCCTGGCACGACATGGTCCCCCGAATATTGCTGATCCACCTCTGGAAGCCCCTTGGTATAGTGGGTAATCACTGACATTATAGGTCAGGTCCTGTGCAGCCCTGAATCTTTGGTTCCTCACTTTGAAGAGCTGGCCAGCAGGGTTGGCTGAGACTTTCTGGGGGCCCAAAACTTCTGGAGCACTATTAGGTAGACTCCCTCAAAATGGATCAATTAAATCAAAAGGATTTATTGTTTCCTGTTTTCCATCATCCTAATCTTTATTAGCATCTATTCCCTCCAGATATAAAACCTCATTTAAAAAAATCTGTGGAGTACTTTATAGAGTTACTTGTCATCCTTGCACAGGGTCCATGCAAATCTCAGTAGCATCCATACATTTTTAGTATATGTGCTGCCAAAGAGAGCACAATAAGTGTCATTGTTGTTGGTGTTGATGGTTGTGGTGGTTTGGGGCCACAGACTCAGGACTCTTGTCTCTGAGCACAGGGATCACTCCTCACCATGCTCTGTGGACCATATGCGGTGTCTGGACCAAACCAGAATCAGCGGCATGCAAGGAATGGCCCTATCTTCTGAAACACCATCGCTACAAGGGTTATAGAGAAAACAGCCCATTTATTTACTGAAATGACACAGTAAGGCAGTAAAAATTATGGAAAATATTAGGGAAATGAGTTAAAAGTTTCAAAGATAATCGTCATTCATGAAACATTAAGAAATTTAATTTAATATCAAAAACATTCTGGATCTTTGAGGTGGGTATATTCAGATGAAGTTCTCTCATTGAGTTTACTTTCAAGAATATGAAGGACAATAAACAAATAACAATAATCTTAAAAAGTGATATGTGAGAAAGTAAAACAGGATGTTGAAATACAGTGAATATAAAACTAGTGTTGATGAACTAAAAGTTGTCCTCAGGGCTCCCTTCTGGCCTCTGTGCTCAGGGCCTCAGGGTTATTCCTGTCCATGCTAGTGGTCCATATACGGTGCGGCAAATCGAATCTGGGTCAGTCACCTGCCAAGCAAGCACCTCATCTCTCTGGCCCCTTATCCTTAATGTCTTATATTTTCACTTTTACTGGAAGTTTTGGGGCAGCAGAATATATGAATACAGATATATTTTAAGAAGAGCTGTATTGTAATGTGATTTTTTTTTACGCCTCATGACACTTCACAATAAGATATTTACAGAGCTTCTATATGCTAGGAGTTGATGTAAGATAAATTCCATAGCTATATTTTGGTGAATGGAGATTTGATAAAACTAGCCACACTGTTAAGGGAATATTAAACAACAAAGTGAAAATCAAAGTAAATAACCGCAAGTGGAAAAAATTACACTCTCAACAGTATACAATATTTATGGACGCCTGAATTTGTTTTTCATTTTTTTCTTTTTTTTTAAATTAGTGAATCACCGCGAGATACAGTTATAGACTTATAAACTTTCGTGTTTACATTTCAGTCATACAGTGATCGAGTACCCATCCCTCCGCCCGTGCCCATTTTCCACCACCAATGATCCCAGTATCACTCCCACCACCCCAACCCTATCCCCCCCACCCCACCCCACCTCTGTGGCAGGGCATTCTGTTTTGCTCTCTCTTTCCTTTTGGGTGTTGTAGTTTGCAATAGAGGCACTACGTGGCCATTGTGTTTGATTTGTAGTCTATATTTGGCACACATCTCCCAACCAGAACGGGTCCTCCAAACACCCTTTACTTGGTGTTCCCTGTTCTATCTGAGCTGCCTTTTCCCCAACATTTGAGGTCAACTCCCAAGTCTTAGAGTAAACCGCCTGGTCCTTATCTCTACTATTCCTGGGTGTTAGTCTCCCATTCTGATACTTTATAGTCCACAGATGAGTGCAGTCTTTCTATGTCTGTCCCTCTCTTTCTGACTCATTTCACTTAACATGATACTTTCCATGTTGATCCACTTATATGCAAATTTCATGTTCAACAGCATAGATTTCAGGTTGAAAAATACCAGAAGGGTCAGTGAAGGATATTGAGCTCCCATTTGACCCAGCAATACCACTTCTGGGAATATATCCTGAAGAGCTAAGAAAATGTAGTAGAAATGACATCTACGCTTGTATGTTCATTGATGCACTGTTTACAATAGCCAAAATCTGGAAAAAAAACCGAGTGCCCAAGAACAGATGACTAAATAAACTGGTACATTTATACAATGGAATATTATGCAGCTGTTAGAAAAGCTGAATTTGGTTTTCACCTGTAATTTTTTTCTACAATAGGAGGAAACAAAAGTATATGATCATAATATAAGCATGAGTCTGACATTCAGAAGTTTAAACTCTCAAAATTAAGGTTTTGAAAAAAAATTGTCATTGTCACTGTCACTGTCCTCCCATTGTTCATCTATTTGCTCAAGTGGACCCAGTGACATTATGAGACTTGTTGTTACTGTGTTCTGCATATTGAATATGCCATGGGTAGCTTGCCAGGCTTTGCCATGCGGGCGAGGTACTCTTGGTAGCTTGCTGGGCTACCCCAGAGGGACGGAGGAATCGAACTCGGGTCGGCCCGGTCGACCACATGCAAGGCAAACACCCTACTCACTGTGCTATGTATGCCATAATAGAATCATAAAATTATGGATTTTCCTTTTATTTTTTTTTAATACCTATACACTGTCACTGTCCTCCTGTTGTTCATCGATTTGCTTAAGCACGTCTCCATTGGAAACTTTGTTGTTACTGTGTTTGGCATATCGAATACATCACGGGTAGCTTGCCAGGCTCTGCCATGCGGGTGAGATACTCTTGGTAGCTTGCCGGGCTCTGCGAGAGAGGCGAAGGAATCGAACTCGGGTCGGCCATGTTGGCTGCGTGCAAGGCAAACACCCTACCGCTGTGCTGTCGCTCCAACCTAGTGTAGAAAAAAAATCTCTGAACATCTGACAGGAGATCTTTTTGGTTGTTGTTGCTATTAATAAGTTTCCAAGTTGTGAAAATGATCTAGAGTTTCAGTTCCCTCTTCATTAAAGAAGGATAATGATTATCTCATAGCTGGTTACGTATGACCAGGAAATCTATCACAGGTGATGTCCATTGCACATAGAAAATTTCTCAATAAATGCTTCCACGTACCTTTTCACCTTCCCACAGAATTGGGAGTAAGGGTGCTACCTTTTGTGATTATCAGGTAAGATCAGATAAGTCATCAGGTCAGTGTATTGTCTAAAAGAGCTGTATGACAAGGTAGACAGACCAGTTAGGATCTGTAAGTATTCAAAGGTATCTGACTTTTCTTCTTAAATACAGTTAAGACCTTCTCAGAGAATACTCATCAAGTGAATAGACTCCTTTCAGTTTTCATTTGAGACTTAAATACATAAACAAGTATCTCTTATGTCAAAATAAAATATTGCATATTTATTTCCTATTTCGTGGGGGCTATACCCAGTGGTGCTTAGGGATTACTTGTGGCTCTGTGTCACATATCATTCCTGGCAGCACTCAGGGGACCATATGTGGTACCAAGAGTTGAACCCTGGTTGGCCACATGCAAGGAAACTGCCCAACTCTCTTTACTATCACTCTGTGATAGTATACAAATTGTATATTTTAATATTTCAGATGCAATGTCATAAAATAAAGGAGCCCAAATTCCAGTCCCCAGCAAATAGATTATTCATAACATGTAAGCTCTAACCTAACTGAATTTTCTTTCAAAAATGGAAGAACATTTCTTAGTGATTTCATCCAATCCTAGACATTTAATATCTGTCTGTGAGACAGTTTTTTGAAATGTAAAGAAAAATTATCTCTTTTGTATCGGCATATGTGCTAAACTATCTATGTATCTATTGCTTTTAAAAAAATACTTCCCTGTTTACATTTTTCTTATTATCTTGAATCATGTCCAGTCTCTTAGGAAACAAATATATAAAAAATGAATTCTGTGGAATGTTAACTGTGCCAGTATTTTTCTTCTTTTTATCATGCCCCAAGATTCACCAAAGCTGATATAAATTCACCATGCCTTCTTTAAAAAGCGTAACAGCAAGGCATTCTTCCTGCTGGAGTCGGACTGTAAAAGGTGATTTCCTTTTACTCCATTTGGTTTAAGCCTGTAAAAAGCATTAAGTGAAAAATCTGATATATTTGTTCAGGCATTTTTTGCATTACTAAGTTATATTTTTCAGCTTTCAGTGAAAGGTTTATTGAGAACATAAACTTTGAAGTGGTTTTGTTCAGGATTAAGGATATATATTTTCATCTTTTTTGGTGAATAATATCACACAAAATGAGGCCTTTCAGGAGCTATTTTTAGCACTGTTGATAGGGGAAGGACACATAGTTCCATTCTGCTGAAGCAGATATCAGCATTCCAAACCAGCCTCTGATGATGAGATTTGTAACTTCAGCAGAATGAAAAGCTGTGAAGTTACCATTTTCCATTAGCTCAATTTACCATAATACAAATGCACCAATAAGTTAAAACTATTTTGCAGGAGCCTTTTATAATGAAAATGTTTACCAATCTGTGTAATTTAGACTGAATATTTATAACCTATCCATCTGAAATGTAAAGAAAGCATAAGCCATTGCAAATATGTATTATTGCATAATACATATTATGTATTGATTATGTATTGATTCCTTTTTGATTAATGAAAATTTGAATTTAAACTCCCAATACATTCTTTTGTCATCAAAAATGAGCTGTTTGTTTCAGATGAAAGTATTATAATCATACACTTTGAACTCAGGAAAATTGGATAATCTTTATTCTCTAAATAGCATAAATAACAAAATCATCATAACTGTTAAAATAGTCACTAACAATTTACTTTGCTTCACTCTTGATTTCCTAAAAATGTTTGTAAAGACTCGTGAAATAGGTGAAATAATATGATGTCTATAATCGATTTAAGCAAGTGACGGGATGGAAAGGTCAATCTTCACAGTAGTCCTATGATGTAGGAAAGGGCTATTAATTTTATCCTGATCTATATCCAGAAGTTGGAAAGGTTACGAATTGCCTCATGTCCTTCAGGTAACAATGGAATACCATGTGGGGTAGGGGAGGTCATATGGCTATGAAGATGGTAGTTTTTATGATTGGATATATATAACCAGGCAGAGTAAGTTGGAAATAAATTCTCTTGTCTGCACATCATCTGGATGCTGATCATGTTCTATACTGATGTCTGAGTTTAGAATTTTCTTTTTAAGTATTCTGTAAGTTCTATCATTTGATTAAAAGGGTTAAATATTTTTTAAATTTGACGTATTCTATATGCCAAAAACAGTAACAAGTCTCACAATTTGTTGTGAGACATTACTGGTGCCCAGTTGATCAAATCGATGGACAACGGGAGGACAGTGCTACAGTGCTACAATTTATTTAAATAAAATTTTTCTCTTCTATCA